AAAAAAAAAAAAAAAAAAGAACCCTGGGGAGGAGGCAAGCATGAAAGTTAGACTGTGAAGCTGTTACATTGTTCAGGTGTGAGATGCTGGTGGCCTGGACTCAGGTTGTAGCTGTGCATTGCAAGTAAAGAGGTAAGACATGGATTTACTTTGGAGGCAGAACCCAAAGATTTTATTTTAGATTAGGTGATCTGAATATAAAGGGAAAAGAGAAAGAGAAGGATTGAGGATGATTCCAGGTTTTAACCTGAGTAACTGGGTAGATAGTGCCATTTACCGAGTTGGGCAAGACTAAAGAGAGGATTTGGGAAGAGTCAGATAGCCAGGGTGGAAGCAGAATCTTCCATTATTCTTCCTTGCACCTCTGTAGGTAGGAGCACAAACTCTGCTTTTGTTCTGCTTTGCTCCTCTGGCTTCCAAGGGATGGAGCATATAGAAACATGTTCTTTTTGGCCTACAGGGCTCCACAGAGAGCTGCAACACCACCACAGAAGATGAGGACCTCAAAGGTAGGTGCTGGCCCTTGGAGGGGGAAGGACTCCAGCAGTGACCCAGGTACCTGGGCTCCAATGGGGCACCTGCCTTTTCTGCCTCCAGAACTGGGAATGGTGGCTCCTGTACCCCTAGGAGATGGCGTGGTATAAAAACTACTTTCCAGGAGCCAAGATATGAGGCCCCTGTCTGGTGTTGCTGAGCTGGGCAAGAGGCTTCTTTTCTTTGACCCCCAAGTCTAAAATAGCTAAGCTAGAGATTCTCCAGGGGCCAGGGCTCAGAAAACTGTTCCTGTTGCTGATAATGATGTGCCATCCCAGAACGGGTATCCCAAGTCCCTGCCAAATAAGCGCACAAGTGTCATGAGCCATAAATAGAGTGACCAGTCGTTCTGGTTTTCCCGGACCCAGAACTTTTGGTTTTAAGACCGTGATGGGCCAGGAGTGCTGGCTCACACCTGTCCAGAACTTTGGGAGGGCTGGGCAAGAGGATTACTTGAGGCCAGTAGTTTGAGACCAGCCTGGCAACATAGCAAGACCGTGTCTGTATTTAAAAAAAAATTTTTAAGAACAAATAAATAGGCAGGGCATGGTAGCTCACACCTGTAATCCCAGCACTTTGGGAGGCCAAGGCAGGCAGATCACTTGAGGTCAGGAGTTTGAAACCAGCCTGGCCAACATGGTGAAACCCCGTCTCTACTAAAAAAAAAAAATTAGCCAGGCCCTGGTGGCGGGGGCCTGTAATCTCAGCTACTAGGGAGGCTGAGGCATGAGAATGGCTTGAACCCAAGAGGTGGAGGTTGCGATGAGCCGAGATTGCACTAGTGCACTTGGTGACAGAATAAGACTGTCT